CTCATCAGCCCCTTCTTATTAGAGTTTCTAAGAATCCTGATTAATTTAGAGCCCATTTCAGCTGCTGCTTAAGGAGGCTGAACATCTTGCCCTCACCCTTCTGAGTCTGCTTTCCCAATGGCTTTTAAAACATTGTGTGCAATATTAGAAATTTCCTTCTGCTGTTAATGAGCAAATGTATGCATAAATTTCTCTGTATTAGAGGCATTTGTCTTTTTCTCAGGAGCTTAATTGTTTCCTCCCCCCTCCCCCACCCTTTTAATTTCTTGAAATGTGTCTAATTTGTAGGGTAGTATAAAAAGGCGTGGGAGTACATTTAAGCTCTAAGGAGGCTCTTACAGAGCCTGGTGCTGAAAGGGGTTGAGTAATGCTAAGCTCTGCCTGAAAACGGGTCACTCACAGTATCTTGCAGGAATGGGTCTCTGTGGTTCTTTTACCAAGTGGGTTGCGTGTGTGTTTTCAGAAACTTAGCATACAAACCTTCCTAGATAAAAGAGGCATCTCCTTTCTCAGTTCCCGAGGGAGGCTGTCTTTTGGTGGCTGGTGAACACTATGCTGTGTTTGTGCTTCTGGTAGCTTTTCAAGCATATACTGATAGATTCTGGGCAAACCAGATTTTGGGGACACTGAGAATGTAGTTAAAGTGTTAGAGAATTAGAAAAGCAGAGAATGGTGCCTTGAAGACACTAAAAGAACAGTGACTGAAGAAAAATGCATTTTGGGGATGAGAAAAGAAAATCTCTTGAAGCGTTGAAGAGATGACTTTAGAAAACCAATTACTTGAGAACAGACACATAAAATTCTAGATGAGTCCTCTGCATAGGCTACAAGTGCTTCTAACCACTTTTTGTTTCAAATGTCCCTAAAACTACTAGATGTAGTTATTTTGTTGATTTCCTACAAGTACCATTACAGACATAACAAAACTCATTTCAGTCTAAAGTTTTATGAAGTAAAACTTCTGGTTTGGTCCTTCTTAACTACATACCTTAGACACATTTCAGTAAATGTCATTTCTCTTCACCAGAAAAAGCCTCTTGATTCTTTAATATGGTGTGGCCTTGGTTTTGGGCTCTTTCAAAGATGAGATAGAAGTCATCCCATTAAAACTTTTCAAGAGTTCTTCCCAGACTTTAAGATGGTTTGGAAACCATTTGGCTCCTGAATTGAGCAATTTTTTTTCTGAATCCAGAAGCAAGTGCACTGCTAAAGCATCTGAAGAATTTTCACCAATAAATTTCAAATACAGTTTTCCTTTAGCGAATGAAACAATGGTTCTGCAGTTGTTTACTCTGTGCTTTCAGGGCATTGGGAGTTTACAATGAAAACAAAGATAGCACAGAACTGTTAAAAGGTGAAGAAATCACCTAATTATTGATTATGTTGTGTGACAGAGCCTACAAGACTCAAACCAGTTGTACTCTACTGTATAAATGATGCATATTGCATAACGCTTTTACCAGATTATTGCGGATAGAAGGTTGAATTGAGGAAAAACAACAGATTTCCTCTTAGATTGCTCAAAAAACTACGTAGAACCATCATAAGATTCTTGTTTTATATACTGGTTGTTGTTTCTTTAGATGATTTAGAAATACCTTAGTTTTATGCAGGGTATCTAATCAGCCTTACCCAGATAATGTCATATACAGAGAGTAAACATTGCCTTTAACTGGGGATAGGATCATGCAGCTTGAGGTTCTGCAACCTCTTAAGCCACATTTGGAGTCTGTAACTTTTAAGTATCTAATTTCAGATTTCAGCCTGCCTTTTCTTCCCAAGCATGAAGGTTTTTTTTTCTTTTTTTTTTTTTTTTTTTCCCTAAGTTAATGCCATAGACATACTAGTGTTACTGCAATGCTTTCATTTTCTCACTGGATTACTCCTCCCATTTTCACATTCCTGTGGAATCTCAATTAAGAATAGTGGAAACAGAGAAATAATCAATTTAGAGTTAAATTTCCAAACCTGTCTTGTTAAAATAGGTCAGAAATTTTCTAAAGCAATCCTGATATTTTCCTCTTTCCAAAAGGAAAATGTAACCCTTGAGGAAGGTAACACATTTGCAGCTAGGATGTTCTAGAGAAAAAGTCTGTGGTGGACCTTATTTTCAACAATACAGTAGTTCAATTAAAAATCCCTTCATAAACAGACATTAATTTCAAAAATTCAGGCCTGTCACACCATCACATCTAAGCTGTACAATCTTTCCCTGCTTCATCTAATTTCATCCTCAGGTAGTGATTTACCTACAAGTCACTAAGTGAGCAGTGAAGCTCACTTGCTTACAGAATCCCAACCTTGGTTTTAATAAACACCTCTATAAAGTTGTGGTGGGAGACTGCTGATCTGCAGAAGTTGTTTACAGTTCAGGTTTCCCTGCGAAGGAGTGCTTCACAAACAAGTGTCCACAAACACATGCTGACCTCAGCCCATTACCTTATTTTTTCTCTGCTTCATTTAGTTGTAGCATAAGAAATTCTTCATTCATACAGCAGAGTAAATGTCATGAAGAGCCTGGGGTGAGGAAGAGAGTAACAAGGAAAGCCTACAATAGACAGAGAAAAACAAAAGCTTGACTTACTACAGCAGTGCAAAAAAGAAAACGTTGAGCGGAGCCTGATGGAAAGCTAAGGAAAGAGATAGGAGCCTTACCAAGCGAGGCAGAGATTTTGATCGACTGATATTTAATTTAACTGAGCAAGTGAATGTAGTGTTTAATAAAAGAATTATGGAGTTATTTTTCTGGTAATATTACTCTTCAGTAATGTAGTTAAATTCTGTTAGTTAGAAGTTACATGATAGTTAACTGACTGCTGTATGCATGAGCCATGTGCCAGGCAGGCTCATGGAGAAAACTGGGCAGCGCAGGGACTCGTGGTGGCACAGCCAACACTGTGAGGTTTGTAACTGGGTGCACTATCAGAGTTTTTGCTATTCACAGCCTTTTGCTACTAAGATTACAGAGAGCACACTAAACTTTATTTTCCCATCTAAGAAGCTTTGGGTTTTCTGCTGCTAAAAACAAAGACGGGCCATGGATGTAGAACTAATTTACTAACTGGATGTTTGTTCTCCCTCCATCTTGTTTTACTTCGCTATCAAAACATATTTTGTTTCTGTTAATCTAGAAATTTAAACTGTAGTAATCTAGGGCTATTTACCCTGAATGAGACTATTCACACGGAGTTTTAATATGCTATAGCTTATATAAATTGACTTCACACCTTTAGCTGATTGATTTATTTAGCTTTCCTGAGTGACCCTTTGTAGGCAGTCCAAACTGTTTCATTAGTAAAATGAGGACTACCCTTCAGGCTGTATCTCTTTCAGCTGTTCTCAGACCCTATTCAGCCCTTTTTCATTATCCTGAAAATTTAAAAGCTTGCAAGGGGCCTGAGGCCAAGTTTAGCTTACTGCTGTGGAGTATTCTTATGATCCAGCCTTTCTTTTGCCCCCATGTGAGTTTGTTTCTACCTCCATTCCTACAACACTTTTTCTTTCCTCATAAGCAAATTTGCAGAATCAAACCTCCCAGCCTTGTGCCAGCCTGGACACCTTCTTGCCTCCATTTTTCTATTTTCCCTATCTGACATTTTTTCTGCTTCTTAATGTCATTGTATTAATTCGGTATTTTTCCTGCAACCTTTTTCAACAACTCGGATGTCTGTGTCAGATGCATTTCCTACCAACCAACTAGCCCAAGTCAAAAGCTGTAATGTAGGAAATGCATGAGTGCCCCCTCTTGTCTGCTCTCAAGTAAAACAGCTCAGCCACCTTTGCCGTGGAAGGAAAGCAGAATAAAGTCATTTTACTTAATCCATCAATTTGCATTTATTTACAGATTGAAATGGAATAAAATAGAGATGTTCACAGCCTGATAAAAGGAGATCTGTGCACATGCTTGCAGGCTGAAAGGCTGTGCTGTTCTTTTTTTGGTGGGGAGGGGATTCAGAAGTACAGACATATGTACCATAGCACAGGCATTAGGTTTTCTGCCTACTCCACATTCTTCATTGTTTTATCTGCAGACAGAGAAATGCTTTTGGTATTGCTTTGATCAGAGAGATCATAGCTAATAAAACATTCTCTTTTTTCTCAGCCCTGCTTGAACCTTGGGATTCACTTTTCCTTGAAACAGGATCTTCAAAATGGTTATTCTGTGATATGAAGTCTGATTTCCCAGATAGTCAGACCCATAAATATTAAGAATCTCATAGACCCTCTAGAATAGTTTAGAAAAAAATATATGTCAATCCTTTTGAAATTTCCTAGATGATGAGCATCAAAATGGCAAACGAAGGCCACAAGAAAAGAATTAGCTGCCTTTTTTTTTTTTTTTTTCTCTCTCTTTTTTTTTTTTTTCTTTAGAAGGATGAATTCATCTGCTGTTACTGTAGCTTTACTGTCATCTTAAGGAATTCTGCAAAACCAGCAGGGCTGCTGTCAGGGTAAGATGAACAACCTCACAAAGAAGGCTGTACGACAGGATTTATGGGGAATTGGGTCCATGCTATGGTCTCTATGTCCATGTTTTGTTGTGTGAGTGTTGATGGGGGGCTTTATTTACTTATTTATCTCTTTACCAATTTGTTTTAGCAAGGTCTTCGCTAAATTAGAAAGAATAACCAGCCCGCAGCTCAGCAAAGCCATGTCTGAGCAGTGTGACTGAAGACCCAGGGACAGGCATTCCTAAGCATGCAGGGAAACCTCCAGCTCCTTGCAGTTAGATGAATATGGAGGGCTCTTTGAACACAAAACTGTGGGTTTATTCATTTCCTCATAAAGAGCCCTGAAAAGTTTTCATCTTCAATTGAAATTCTGCAATGCAACCTGATTTTTTGTCTCTCTGTCTTGTCTCCATTTTCCTGCATTGCTTTTGGTTTGCTGGCTGCAAAGTGACCCCTTGAGACAAAGCTAATCTTATTTCAGGAACCGTGCCTGCAAAACAGGGAGATGACTGTGGAGTTCTGGGTAGTATTAAAGAAAAACAAAACACAATGCAGCATTAAAGCCCGTGTGAAGCCAGTGCTTGTAAGCAGTGCCAAGCTGACAGTTACAGGGAAGAAAGGCTCTGATTTAACGGGTAATGTGCAAGCCAAGGGCCATACTATCCTGCTAACATGTCTAGATATTAGGGCTGTGTCTATATTGTCTAATCAATATGGCACAGTGCCTGGCCTAATTAGCTCCATTTCTTTAATTAGGCCAGGCAGGATGCTATGCTGATGTGGTCATGCTGCTTTGGGACCTTAGCGAGCACCTCTGCAGGGCACAGCTCTGTGCCACATAGACCTGCCAGCTTGCTGCTGTTTGAGATCCCACTCTGTGCCATACTGGACATGGTAGGTGTAGTCTTTGTTCATTGTCAAGACTTTGCTGAACCCTAGGATTTAGTCAAATGACCAAGGAATGACTGTGTGTTTGTGTTCTCTACTGGGAAGTGAATGATCCTACAGCTCCTTGTGGACCCAAATGGCAACCATGGTGCATGCATCTACCTCATAAAAAAGGTATTCATACATGCCAGTCTCTCCTTTCTAGTAGTAGCAAGTTCATGTCTGGTCTTTGACTCGCAGCGGAGATGTTATGGGTCAAGTTGCCCTAGAGTAGTGGACATCCTCTCTGGTGGCACATTGAACAGGAAGCCCACAAAGCACATTAATTCACCTGTAGAAACCTATAGCTAGTAAACAAAATAGGCGAAAATTCATGAATTTTGGTTAAAACTGTAGTTTGTTCCATTTAAATTTCAACCTTAAATTTTATGAGCTTTAGTGTGTTTCCCCAGCAGCAAGGTTTCTGAGATCATGCCTTCTGTGCATCTGTCCTGGAGGGTCTCCTTGCACTTGTTGCCTTGTCTCATGTAAGCTGATGGAGCTTTTAAAGATACTCAGTTTCTACAGGGTTTGTAGGAATGGGTGCCTGGGTGGAGGTCAGCCGCTGCTCGTGGAGTTAGACCTTAGGGTGGGAGAGTGCCAATTAGGGTTCTGCAGAAAGCACATTTAAGGACTCTGCCTTATTAGCCTCCAAATAATTGACTCCTCAGTCACAGTTTCTGTCTCTGAGGTAGATTCCACAGAGGAGATCTGCATACCTCACTCTTATTAAAACTGAGTTGAAAAGTCAGTCAGCCACGAACAACAAGTCCACCAGAAACCAGGTTTGATGAGTCCCAGAGCCTGGAGCAAGGATGGCTCTCCCAGCCCTGCCTGTGCGCAGGGTGGGCTGATATCAACCTCCTTGTTAATGTCGCCTAAGTCACTGGGTGATGAGATTCACCTGCCTCTGATTTAATCTGTTTTTTCATTCAAGAGCTCAAATGCTAACTTATTATTTTTATTTTCTGTACAGCTTTGGGGTATTTTCACTTTCTTAGGATACTGTTCCCAGATGAGACTTCAGTGTATTGCCTCTGATCTGTGCCAGAAAGAATTACAGATGTTTCAAAGGAAATGTGCAGAAACCAGGCAACTGAAACAGAATAAATTATGCTTAAAATCAAGGAAATGTCCTAATAAGTGAGAAATGCACCAATTTCTCCTTGAGCTTTTTCAGTGCCACTACCACCTGTGTTTATTTTTTATTTATTTATTTATTTTGCTTTACAGTATGGTACAGCAGCTGGTTCTTCCACATGAAGAAGTCTGTAGTAAGGCTGAAGTATTAAAGGATTTTTTAGAATTTCTTAATTTTCTCACTTCAGGTTACTTTAGGCAGGTGTACTTAACAGGCAGGTGTATGTCAGGTTACTTAACAGGCAGGTGTATGTCTTTTTCCCTGTGGGACAAAAAAAAAAAAAGTGAGGCTTTGTGTTGTGTACCCTCCCTGACAAACTGTGGGACAAACATTTGACCCAGGCACCAAGCATAGCCACAGGTGTCTGCAAAAGTGCTCCCACAGCAACAAAATGAGCCCCTGCACTCTTCTGGGTGACATGTCTCTTTTCTGTTTGCAATGGGCTGAATTTGGAGAGGAATTTCTAATTTGTTTTCTCCCTATAGCTGTATCCCAGGTGAAGCTGCAAACATCAGTGGCAGGCAATGAGTGGCATGCCTTGGCTATTTGCTTTACGATGAGATTTTGGTTTACTTAGTAGTGCACATTGCCTGGATATACACGTGCTCCAGCAACATAAAATACTTCTGGTATCCTAATTTTAGGCTATTTTTTTTACCAGTTTCCTCTTGGAAACAATGAAATAAAAACCTTACCCAAAAAGCCTGGCCCAAAATCTCAGAAAACCTGGTTCAACAGAAGTTACCATTTTTTTATGCCTTTCTTGCCATACTAGAGTCATGAATCAAATACTTAATGAGATCTTTTCAAAACTTGCTCGTTCTTTTCAAGTCCTTCTGAAGGAAAAGCATTTCCACTAATTTTGGGAATGAAAATACATCTTAGTGTTTTTCTGAGAGGTGGAAGGTATTTTTCTAGAAAAGTTTATTTATTTATTTATTTAATGGTTTTTCTGCTTCTGTGTTTTATTTCTTTAATTTACAGGATACTTATTATCTGACTATACCTGAACATCACTGTATCTTCTGAGATTCCTTGAAGAACTTTGGTATTCATAGTAATAACATGCATGAGATGAGATCATCTGGCCTGTTATGGCAGAAATATGTAATTCCACAAGAATTTTATTGTAATTTAGCATGCACTTATGTCTGCTTATTTGAAAGTTTATCTGGATAATGAATTGTATCCCTTAGGCATTTTGTAATAGTTCTTATTTTAGTAATAGTATATCTTCAGTGCATTTCTAATACCAAAGAGTCCATGTCAAACATAATGATCAAAACTGAGCATAGTTTCTTCAGCGTAATTTAGCACAAATTTGAACTATGTATTTTATAGCTATGTATTTGAATTATGCAAACTAGTGACTCAAAATAATTTTCAAAGTGCTAATGGAAAGCACACCAGATTTTCCCAATTTGAAAAATGCAAATCTCTTAAGCCTTTGCTCAGCTCCCAGACTTAGTGTATTTTGATGCATCTTCGTTCTTAAAGCTCTACAGTACCGCGTCCGTAGGAGCACCTCTCACAGTACCAGGATCTTGCTGTCCTGAGTTTGGTTTATAAATATGTAATTTATTTTTTGTAGTTCACAAGTAACCTACAGCTACCACATCGCCTGTTTTTGTAACGTGTGATCCCTGGTTGTCTGGTCTGTGTGTAGAAAGACGTTGTGCGTTTTCTCATGGAAGACAAATGAGCCACAATGAATCACAAGGTTGTCTTTAATATTCCCCTTCCACAGTGTAACGCTAACCAGTATGCCCAGTTAGGGCTAATATGCCGCCTAGATCTGCACATGACAAATGTGATCCTGTGCCACTTCATACACTGCAACCTATTGTCTCCCCATGTGTCTTCCCCAGAGCAGCCAGTCACGCATTCCCTGGGTATGTTGTCATGGCCACAAGGATTGTTTTCCTTTGGAGTCTAATAATAAGTCAATTAGAGCAGGATTAGCCTCTGGGAAATGAAACCAGTTACTCCCTCTCTCCCAGGATGAGGACCTTAAATGATCTGCCTGAACATTTTCCTCTCCTTCCTTTGTTTTTCCTGCAATCCAGCAAATCACTTCTCCTCTAATTAGCTTGCCAGTAGGCATCTATCAAATGTTTCTCTTGTTAACTTACAGCACCAGCCAGAAGGGTGCTTTGTAGCGCCTTGTCGGGGTTCTGCCAAGTTTAGTGTCTGGCAGAGCTGGAAAACAAACAGTCCCCCATATATATCTCCCCATCTCTTCCTCCACCTTCCCCTCGTCGCCCCCCCCACCCCCCCCCCCAAAAAAAAAAAAAAGAAAAAAAAAGAAAAAAAAAAAAAAAAGAAAAAAAGCTCTGCCTGACTCTGTGCTGCATTTTCACCCAGGAACAAGCTCATTTTTCTCCCTGGCTGTAGCTCTCATTTCACTCTGCAGGCACTTGGGAAGAGTCATGGTGGAGCCCTTTCTTCTAAACACCAGCATGCCAGTGTTTAGACAAGGGGAATACACTTCTGGTCACGGTTTTCATTTCCTGGATTAAGACAGGCAGAAAAAAAAAATGTAGTTGTGAGTATAAATCACTTTTGGCCTTGTTCTGTGTTAAAAGATAAGCAAATTCAAAATATCAGCCAGCCTGCCAAGCCTACAATTTAAAGGATCAACACTGTCTCCTTCCGATCCCATCTGACTCTACCCCAACTCCAGGAAAACTTGATCCCACTGGCCAGGCTGGTCCTGAAAGCCACTGTCCCAGTGGAGCATCATTTGCACTGGAAGGCCCTTGGCATTATGAAATCCACCAGGAGAGGCAGCTGAGGCTGTGGAGCAGCAGTCACAGGAAACTCATGGAAAGAGCAGGGCACAGAGACATGTTCCTGCTGTCACCACAGCTGTGTGAGGTTTCCCCACATTCCCTGCTACTGCCCCAAGCTATATAGATGGTCCTCCATAGCGTGTAGGACTTGTGGGCTTGCATTATGTATGAGATGCAGGATGCATGTCTGACTGTGCCCAATCACTTCAGGGCCACAACCATCAGTAAGCAAGAAGTGGGGGCAGAACATGACAACAAAATCTGCTGACAAATGAGTTTGTGAGGAGCTGTAAGACAAAACCCTGGAAATACCCTGGGGCCTGAGGACCCCTTCTAGGTCATTCCTCTGAGTCCTAGAAAATGCATGTCTTATGCTTCTTAACGAACCACAGTTAATGTAGTGCTACAAACACCCAGCTGTAACATGGCACAATTTATGCAAAGAGCATAGTAGAAGAGTTTCAGATTAAGAGAATCACAGCATGTATTTTTGCAAGCAAGGCTGAGAAAAGCTATTGGTTCTCAAATCTGGAAAAGCAGCTTCTGCTTTTAGCTTTCCTACCTGCTGTCTGCTCCCTGCAAGGAGCCTGCAGATACAGCTGAATGCTCTGGGTGCTCTGCATGGTGCTGTGATCTGAATTGCACGCTCATGAATCTTCATCTTCGGGACTGCTGAACATGTCCTATATTTTAAAGTTAATAAAGCAAATATCAGTTGACAGGATATGAGAGGTTCATGTCAGACAGAGCCAGTAAGAGAGACAAATGTGGACATGTGCATGCAGAAAATGTTCAGGCATTCGTCAAGCACAGCTTAATCGACTCCGATGATGGGGTCGTGCACGGTGTTCAGCAGCACCAGCACCCAGCCGTCCAAGCTGGACTCGCTGTGGGGCGGACAGGCTGCCGGGCTCTTCTCAGCATCCTCCTCCTGGCACCAGGGCTGTGATTAACAGCCTGGCCAGGCTGGGCCAGGGGCCTCCTGATAAATTCAGTGCTTTAGAACAAAGCCGTCATTCTCTTGAGCAGTTTAATGTGCCGTAATGAACTGAAATAAGGCAGAATGTAAAGGCAGGGAGATACAGGCGCTCTGCTGGAAAGCAGAGTCATTAAAAATAATGAGCAGTCTTTCACTTCCTTCTTTTTATTAACTTTCTGCAGAGGACAACCTGGCACTTTATTTTTAACACAGTCTCCACTTCACTAATATCCGTTAGACAGATGGCTAAATTTTTCCCACAACATGCTCCACAATATTTAGGAAAACAGAATAAAAAATAAATACAAATAACAATACTAATACTAATACTAATACTAATACTAATACTAGCCTTCCTCTCCAGTTCTTCTTCTCTGCACACCCCAGCTGATTATTTTTTCCATAGCGTCTCTGAATTGTACTACTCCTGCCCCACTCTGTGGTGATCACACAAAAAGAGGCACACCGAGGTGCCGTGTCCAGGAAAGCACATATTACCCCTAACTAACCATTAGCTTAGATTTAGATTTTCAGTTTTGCAAGCTTTTCCTTATCAAGGCTTGCGTGGTCAGAGCAGAGCAGGGTGACACGGGTAACAGCACTCCCAGGTGCATGGCACAGCCTGTGTTCAAAATAGCTGCTGAAGCCTGTGTCTCCAGCCCCCAGAAATACCTGCCCAGCACTGAGCAGGCTGTTAATGGTCCCAGCCACTCCTCCCTACAACTGCTGAAACCTCCGGCCCCTGCCCAGAAAGGGAAGGCCTGATCCTGCCCTTGATCTCCACACACAGAGACTGCCGCTTACAGGCTCTGAGGTGCTGCTTGCGGTGAAGGTTGTGCTCAGTTACAAACATAAACGCATGCCATTACTGTAATCAGGCATGTGGCTCAAATTATTGCCCCAGATCTGTAGAGCTGGGGAGTAGGATTTAGGCTTTTAATCTAAACTTCAAACTTGTTTAGGATGAGCTTTTTATTTATTACTGCACTTCTACTGTCCATGTTGGGGCCTCCTGAGCTCCTAAAACCCAAAGCAGCTCCATGGCCCCCCCTAAGTGAGAGGGTGCCTGCTGCACCCCAAGCCGGGCTCCCAAATTTGTCTGTTCTTCACCCACTCCTGGCACTTCGGCAGTTGGATCACAGAAATCTGCCATGAGGCCAGAACTCAAAATTTCAGAAGGGTATGAGATGCATTGAGTGTAACATCAAAAATAAATAAGTAACAGGTTCACATCAGACTCTCATCTTGTTTTTAATCCCCTTCTAACATTAAACTGAATGCATGTATTCCTGCTGTTTATCCTAATGTTTTCTATATCCAGAACAAGTCAATACAGCATTTTCCTACATGACCTGAGCACAGATCCCCATCATACATATTAGCCATATTAGTCTGGATCTACGTGGCTGTCATAATGACCCAGCAATGGTTACCTGATCACAGAACAAATATTTAATTTTGTTTTGATTGCAAATATTTGCACTCAAGCTGTATTCCCCAGTTGTAATTGATAAAACACATGCTGCTGATTCTGCCAGGGAAGGCCTGGTGACTTTTTCAGGTTACTTTCCTGTGTGACACTTCTATGATTTTTCTAACCATATTCTGGCTAGTTTTACAGACACTACCAGCAGCTGCAAAATGTACAAGCCAATACACCATCAGCAGGTCTGTCTCTCACACTGTAATTTGGATTTTCCAAGTTAAGCCTTTGTAGAATTTCCTGCTTTGTATCTGCATTAATACATCCAGCTATATCTAAAGATTTTGTCTGTCCCATTTGGGACTAAGTCAGATTTCTGAAAATTTTGAACTTTTCATGAGCAGCATGAAACAGCAAAGCCTTTGTTTCAGTCAGTTCACTACAGAAGGCCAGAGGAAATTCAATTAAGAGAAAAATATTCATTGTGCTTGCGTATCATCATATATTAGTCTTCTTTCTCCTGTTCTACAAATTGCTGCGGGCCATGCGGGTGTACAAGGTATATACACCAGCTGAGGATTTGTTTTTGTAAATCCCTTTTGGTTCATACTCCAGCAGGGCCTGTGCCAGCAACTATCTCTGACGGTCCAGAAGAGAGAGAGCTGTAATTGATGGTGCCCCTGGGAGCTTTTCCTCCTGTCTGTGTATGTGTGTGTGCACAAGAGAGAGTGTCTTTTATCTTGTGCCAAAAGTGGCTTTAATCCAGCACTGAGCTTTTCTTCTTCTTACTTGTTCCCAAGTGCTGCAACATTTCAGGTTTTCGGGACAGGATTGGCAGAAGGCATCTTCCAGAGAAGTGGAAGAAGTGATGGCAGAGCTCAGCTTTGAAGACATGGAGGGAATGGTACCACTGCTTCACATTGGGCTTTCTGCTTTGTGCCAAAGGGCTCCTGCAGAGAAGCTCTGATGGGTCCTGATGAGGCAGTTGGAGAGGCCACAGCTTCCCTGCCTCCACTGTGGCCTCCCCTTCCTCCACTAGTTGGCCCAGTTCTGGTACAGGACGTAGTGGAGTGGCCTACATTTCACACCCAGCCTCTCAGTCAGTGAGGAGGAGGATGGTTTCTTTAGCAGGATGCACAGCACAGAAGAGGAAGATGAACTGCTCCTTCTTGCCATGCAGCCTGGAGAAATGTGTTGCTCCTCAGCCCATCCTGCTGCACTGGGTTTTGGGGGCTGCAGTTGCATGTTTGCTTGAAAAATTGCTAAATTGCTTCATAACCTCCCCACAGACTGTTGTTGTCCCCTACTTCCTATCTTATTAGCAGTTTACAGCTGAAATATACCTCTGGTGATAGAGGTTTGTTGTATCAGGAGTGACATCCATTGGAAGTAAATGGACTACATATCACACTACCAAGAGGGGAAGGGTATAATGCCCCCAAAATATTTGGTCATATTTATAGATAAAGCAGTGATAGAGGACATTCATGTATTTTCCTAATTCTGGCCCAACTTTCCTGTGTAATTGTCTTAAAATCCCATAAATTGGGATTTTACTAATCATAACCTCTTTAGTACCTGTAAAGTAGGACCGGATTCTTTTTGGTGTAGAGAAATATTCAGAATTTAATTTTATTCTGAGGCTAAAGGGGTCATTTTTGCCTCAATCCCATTAAGTTTATGGAGTGGGCATTGGAATGGGCTGCCCAGAGAGGTGGTGGAGCACTCATCCCTGGGGGTGTTGAAGGAAAGGTTGGACCTGGCACTTTGGGACAGGGTTTAGTGGGTGATATTGGTGGTAGGGGGACAGTTGGACTAGGTGATCTTGGAGGTATTTTCTAACCTTAATTATTCTATGATTCTATGTGAGGAGATAAGCAATGTGATCTAGTTGGATGGCCAACTAGGGGCAGGGGAGGCATATATTTTCTGCAGCATATTTCATTCACTGCTTAATGATTTTTCCCCTTCATTGCTGTAAAAAGCCAAGAACCTGTAATGGGATCTGACT